AGGAGACGAAGGCCTGCTAGTTGCTTGCCTGCTGCTTGGCGAGGCATAGCAGTACCGGCTGTTCGGGCAAAGAAGTCGAAAGAACAGCCTGCTGTTCTGAGGTGCGAAAATGGCCGGAGTGTAGGCGGACACGGCTAGAGGTGCAGGTGGGTTTTGGACGGCACTATGGATCAACACCGGTAGTTGCAAGATCCCTCCCAAGGGTTATTTTCTTTGAGGCCAAACCTTTCTTCATTTAAAAACCCACGGGTGCTACTCTCTGTCTTCAACCTCCCCCATTTCCTGCTTTGTCCTTTTGTTTTGTTTTTCACTTTCCTTCCTCCTATTTCTTTATTAGACATAAGCTAAGGACTCAAAGGTAAGAGGATTAACCCCCCCCCCCCTCTTTTTTCTTTTTTCAAGATATGGAGAGTCTACAAGGTCGGATAAGAGATAATAGCTGAGCTACCCCCCCCCTTTTTTTATTATTTTTATTTTTATTTTACTAAAGGAAGACCAAAATATAAAAATAAGAGGTTCCTTAAATTTTAGATGTTACAATCCTCCCCTCCTTGGGATAAATTTCACCCTCGAAATTTAAGTTCGAGAGAAAAGGTGGGGGTAACGCCTCTTCAAGTCTTCTTCTGCTTCCCATGTTACGTTAGATCCTCGATGATGTTTTCATTGAACTTTAACGAAAACAACCTCTTTGTGCCTCAGCACCTTGGTCTTTCTTTCCAAGATGGCTTCCGGTTCTTCAACACATCGGTTGTCCTCGTCCACACGAATTTTCGTAAGTGGTATTGCACTTTCTTCTTTGGCCAAACACTTACGTAGGTAACACACATGAAATGTGTTGTGGATTCCGGCCATCTCAGGTGGTAATTCTAATCTGTAAGCTTGGAGTCATACCCTAGCCAGGACTTTAAACGGTCTAAGGAATCGGGTACTTAGCTTTCTGCGCTTTCCGAAACGGATAATGCCTTTCCAAGGGGACACCTTTAGCATTACACTGTCGCCCACTTGGAATTCCATAGGTCGGCTCCTCTTGTCTGCATAACTCTTTTGTCGATCTTGAGCCGCCTTTAAGCGTTCCCGAATACACTTCACCTTATCGGCCGTTTCTTGAACAATCTCGGGACCAGCAAACTGTTTCTCACCCGCTTCTAGCCAACACACTGGAGTTCTACATTTCGTCCGTACAACGCCTCGAAAGGTTCCATCCCTATGCTGGAATGATAACTATTGTTATAGGCAAACTCCACCAGGGGTAGGTGAGAATCCCAATTCCCGCCAAAATCTATAACACATGATGTAAGCATGTCTTCAAGGGTTTGAATGGTTCGCTCGCTTTGACCATCGGTTTGAGGATGGTAAGTTATACTCAACTTCACCCTCGTTCCCAACTCTTTCTGTAAGCCGCTCCAGAAATGGGATGTGAATCGGCTATCTCGATCCGATACTATTGACAACGGTATACTGTGTCTTGAGACTACTTCGTCGATGTATAACTTGGTAAGCTTCTCCATGTGCAACGTTTCACGCATTGCTAAGAAGTGACGCTCTTTGTAAGCCGATCAACCACTACCCAAATTGTATCATGGTTTCTTAAGGTCTTCGGCAGTTTGGTCACGAAGTCCATCGTAATATGTTCCCACTTCCATTTGGGAATCTCCAAGGATTAGAGGCTACCATAAGGTCGTTGGTGCTCTGCTTTCACTTGCAAACATGTCACGCACCTCTCTACGTAACGAGCCACATCCAGCTTCACAATAGGCCACCAATATGTTAATTTCAAATTCTCGGTACATCTTGGTGCTACCCAGGTGAATGGAGTATTTAGACTTGTGCGCATCTTCTAGTAACAGTTCACGATTTCCCCCAACCTCAGGTACCCATATACGACCTTGAAACAACTTCAAACCACGACCATCCTCCGTAAGAAGTATGTGTTGTTTCACCATAACATCGCTCTTGAGGTTTTTCTCCAAAAGCGCTTCAGACTGTGCCACCTTGATCCGATCGATCAGACTGGACATTACATCAATCCTGGTAAGCACGACTTTCGTTCCACTACCGTACTCCTTTTGGCTCAAAGCATCCGCCACTACATTCGCCTTACCCGGGTGGTACAGCAACTCACAATCGTAGTCCTTGAGTAGTTCGAGCCAACGTCATTGCCTCATGTTTAGTTCTTTCTGATCGAAAATATACTTCAAACTTTTGTGATCAGTGAAAAGCGTGCACTTAGTACCATAGAGGTAATGCCGCCAAAGCTTTAAGGTGAACACCACTGCTGCTAGCTCCAACTCGTGGGTGGGATAATTCTTCTCGTGGTTTTTGAGTTGCCTCGATGCGTATGCTATCACCCTTCCTCTTTGCATTAAGATGCAACCCAACCCCATTTTCGAAGCGTCGCTGAAGACTACAAAATCTTCGGATCCTTCTGGCAAAGAGAGAATCGGGGCTTCACATAGTTTCCTTTGGAGAGTTATAAAAGCATTTTCTTGCTTCTCTGTCCAGATAAACTTCGCATTCTTCCTAGTCAATGCCGTTAAGGAAAAAGCGACCTTGGAGAAGTCTTGGATAAATCTTCTGTAATAATCCGCCAAACCCAAGAAACTTCGAATCTCTGATGGACTCTTTGGTGGTTCCCAGTTCATCATTGCCTCAATTTTGGATGGGTCCACCTTCACCCCGTCTCGAGTGACAACGTGACCCAAGAATTGGACCTCTTTTAGCCAAAAGTCGCACTTGGAGAATTTTGCATACAATTTCTATTTTCTTAACACTTCGAGAACTTCGCGAAGGTGTTGTTCATGATCCGACTTGTCCTTGGAATAGATGAGTATGTCATCAATGAACACTATCACTGACTTATCAATAAATGGTCGGCACACTCGGTTCATCAAGTCCATGAATACTGCTGGTGCATTTGGCAAACCGAAAGGCATGACCAAGAATTCATAGTGCCCGTAACGAGTTCTAAAAGCAGTTTTAATCACATCATCTTCCCTTACTCGCACCTGGTGATACCCCGAACGAAGGTCGATCTTTGAGAAACAACATGCTCCTTGAAGTTGATCAAAAAGATCGTCGATTATAGGAAGAGGATATTTGTTCTTCACGGTTGCCTTATTGAGTTCTCTGTAATCAATACACATCCGCATGGTGCCGTCCTTCTTCTTTACAAATAAGACTGGGGCTCCCCACGGTGACGAACTCGGTCTAACAAATCCTTTCTCAAGAAGGTCTTGCAATTGTGACATCAACTCTTGCATTTCGGATGGCGCCAGACGGTATGGGGCTCTAGCAATAGGAGCGGTTCCCGGAACAAGGTCAATTCGGAACTTCACTTGTCTAACGGGTGGTAATCCGGGTAAGTCTTCAGGGAATACGTCGGGGAATTCATTAACCACCTTCACATCTTCCATTCTTCTTTTAACTGGTTTGGTATCTAACATATATGTAATGAACGAGGAGCATCCTTTAGCTAGACACTTACGGGCCTTAGCATTGGATAAGAGTACTACATTACTTTTCCTTCCTTCTCCGTAAACTAGCATTGCGTCCTCGTCCGGCAAAGGGATTCAGATCAACTTTTTAGAGCATAAGATCTCCGCTTGGTTCCCTGCTAACCAATCCATCCCAATTATGACATCAAATCCGCCTATAGCCATGGGTATGAGATCTACCCAAAATTTCTTTCCCTCAATTCCCAACACGCAATTCCTAACAATCTCACGCACCAGAACTTGACTACCATTTGCTATCTCTATGATCAAAGTATCTTCTAGTACACTAGGGGGCGTATGCAAAAGTTGATGGAACGTAGTGGACACAAAGGAACATGAAGCACCTGAATCAAAAAGTACGTGCGCAGGTACGGAGTTAACAAGGAACATACCCGACACTACATCCGTTGATGCCTTAGCTTCTTCAGCAGTCATCTGGAAAGCTCGGCCGGCTGCTTTCGATGTATTTTCTTTTCTTCCCTAACTCCCTCCCGCCTTTAACTTCAGGCAATCATTCTTGAAATGACCCGGCTCTCCGCATCCAAAACAGATGGGTCCTTTGATTGGACAATCATTTCGTGTGTGGCCTGTCTTTCCGCACTTAAAGCACTTTACAGGAGTAGGGTTGGTGGTGCACGGGCCGAGATGTTTACTGCGACATTTGGGACACCACTTGGCCTCTTGTCTAGGATAAACTCCACGGTTGTTGTTGAGATGGTTTGGTCTCTTGGAAGGTGCATGATGACCTTCCCACTTCCTTTTTTCACTGCTAGCCGCTTTCTCTTCTCTCCCTTTGTTGTACACTGACTCCATGATCTTTGCCCCTTCGATTGCCTCTCTAAGGGTGGAGGCTTTGGAATTCCTGACCATTACCATCATGTTTTGGGGCAACCCTTTTAAATAAGCCTTCATTTTTTCTTTCTTCATTGGGGCCACATGCCCCACCAAATTTAGTTTTTCCATGAAGAGTCGTGTGTAGTCCCTCACCGACAAGTTTCCCTTCTTTAGGGTTCGGAACTCTTCTTCGATGCGGTCTATCTCCTGCTCATTGCAATATTCCTCCAACACCTTTTTCCTTAAACGTGGCCCAACTCATCTTGGCTAATTCCGTAACCTCTACGGTCGATATGACAATGTTCCACCACGTAAGGGCTACACCCCTTAGCATTTGGGAGCCAAATTTCGCCTTTTGTCCCTCATCGCAGTCACAAGCCCGGAAGGCTTGCTCGATCTCTCGCAGCCAGTTCATACATGCCACGGGATCATCTGACCCTACAAACTCTGGTGGTTTGCAACTTAGAAACGTCTTGTAGGAGAAGACCTTTCCCACTTGTCTTGCATCAATTGTTGCTAATTCCTGGGTTGGAATTTCATTTTCGGTGCCCCCTGATCCCACAATTGTCACGTTTTTGGCAACCGCTTCATGCTTACAGTTGTTAGCATCTCTATCCTCCAATAACTTCATAAAGAATTCCAGTTGTTGGGCCATAGCTCTGTTCATGGCGTTCATCATTGTGCCCATCAACCTTGATTATGAGGTTCCTTCTTCCATTACGGGGTTAGTGGTGGCAAGGTCGACCTGGGGAACGTGGTCAACTCCACCGCCCAAGATATTTTGTCTAGGATGAACCCTCGCGATCGTAATTCGTGGCGGTTAATCCGCGGTTGATTCTGTCACCGCATGACCTTTTGGTGAGGTATCCCGTCTACTCCGAGTATTCACCATAAAGTCTGCTTGTACAAGAGAGTAATAGAGAGTTAGAATGGGAAGAGTATATGTATATATAAAACTAACATAATACAGTATCGACACAATCATAATTTTGTAATAACAGTGCGTCCAAGCATGCTCATGCAGCAACTTACTCAAAATAGCATTAGCTAAGTGGAATTTTGAATAGGTTATACATAATGATCCTCAGCACCATCGCAACAATTTTATGAATTACGCATCTCCATTGACTCTAAAGCTTTCCTATCTTAAAAGTCTCTACCCATAGCTTACGAATTAATGCTTACAATCTCAGCTTAAGTCTAGGCGTCTTAGTTCCTCACCTAGTTCACTTAAACTAGTGCTCTGATACCAACTGTAACACCCTAAAAAGAAGAGTTAAATTAAACTGAAAATATTTAACGAGAACCCGGATCTAGAATTAAAATTCACCCAACAAAGGGTAATAGTAAAGCATTTACAATTACTGAGAAGATAAATAACAATCTACTAATCTAGACTATTCTATATCTAGATTAAAGGCGGGTGTTTTTATCAATCTCCAAAAATATCGTAACATGAAAACATAATGCTCAAAAGTAACATAGGGTATAACTACAAAAGAGCCTTTCACGAACCAACGCTCCTCTCAACCCTTTTGAGCCCCGCCGCTAAAGGAACCTGATATACAAGCCATATCAAAAGAAGTGTTAGGCTTACGCCTAGTGAGTTCCATTAATAACGTAACGGTAACTAAGAAGCCTGTATATATAGATGACATAAATTTAAACACTAAAAGAAAACAGCTAATTCAAAATATCACACGGTGGAGCCAAAACATCCGAGGATGACGGGGAAGACCCGATTTATCGTTGATTATGACGGACACAAAGTAAGTCGTAAATCAACGTTATAGAGCATCACTTACAGGTTTAATACCATCGACATCAACCTAAACCAGTCATGTAGTCAGCCGTGATCTTAAGCTCTTTATCTCGGAAATTACACAATAATCGCAATGCCTATTTCTGAGTGGTAGTGAGAGGATGATTTGGAGATTACATAATAATCACAATGCCTATCGCCAACTTACACCATCCCTCACGCAACAATAAACAAAACAACTTCCGAATTCATAGATTTACCACATTCTGATCAAATACTTGAATAACTAACGTTAGACATATATAACATTGTTCCAACATCAAGATTATGCGTGAGTCCACCATTAGAGAAGTATTCCTCTACTACCATGAACGATCATTAGATATAAAACGTAAGAGTGCAAGGGTCCTCTAGTATAAAGTGCCATAAATTAAGCATTTTTCCAAGCGATCGTAACCATTTTTCTAAATCTCAATTCCATTTAGACCTAGAATAACCTTTTTCATCCCAACCGGTAAGATCATAGAATTAAACTATAGGCTAGGTTAACATATTCACATCATCATGTATGTCATTTCATAAAGGGATATAATGAACTCACAACGCAGGGTGGGCAACACAGCAGCTCGATACAGCAGCTTCTGTTGCTGCTGTTTGGTCGAAAAGGCGCAGGAAAACGCAGCTAAGGTTGATGTTTGATGCTTGGCAAGCACATCAGCTACTGCTGCCCGGTAAAGTGATCGAGGAAAAACACAGCAAGGCTTGGTGTTTGCTGTTTGGCGGACTGCGACGAAAACATAACAGCAGGGCCTGTTTGGCGGAGCATCTCAGTAACAGCACAACCTCGTCTGCTGTTGCTGCGAGAAGAAAGACGAAGACAACTAGGCTGCTGTCTTCACAGTGCCGCTGCTGGTACAGGTCTGAGGGAGCGAAGAATACGCAGGTAGCGCCTGTGGCTGCTGCTGGTGGTCTGAGGAAGCGACGAACACGCAGGCAGCGCCTGCTTGGGCGAGGGAACAGAAGGAACCGCACAGCAAAGCTGCTGTTTCTGCTTGCTGTTCGTGGCTTGGTGAGGAGACGAAGGCCTGCTAGTTGCTTGCCTGCTGCTTGGCGAGGCACAGCAGTGCCGGCTGTTCGGGCAAAGAAGTTGAAAGAACAGCCTGCTGTTCTGAGGTGCGAAAATGGCCGGAGTGTAGGCTGACACGGCTAGAGGTGCAGGTGGGTTTTGGACGACGCTATGGGTCAACATCGGTAGTTGCAAGATCCCTCCCAAGGGTTAGTTTCTTTGAGGCCAAACCTTTCTTCATTCAAAAACCCACACTCTCTGTCTTCAACCTCCCCCATTTCCTGCTTTGTCCTTTTCTTTTGTTTTTCACTTTCTTTCCTCCTATTTCTTTATTAGACATAAGCTAAGGACTCAAAGGTAAGATGATTAACCCCCCCCCCCTTTTCCTTTTTTCAAGGTAGGATAAGAGATAATAGCTGAGCTACCCCCCCCCTTTCTTTTTATTATTATTATTTTTATTTTACTAAAGGAAGACCAAAATATAAAAATAAGAGGTTCTTTAAATTTCTAGATGTTACATGCTAACTATGTCCGGGACCCCTAACATGCAATGAAATAGTTTAAGTCTAGGTATCATGCTGTTAAATACCTAAATCTCTTAAACTCAGGCTCTGATACCACTTTCTGTAACACCCCATACCACACATTGCATGTAACACATACTTCAATTACAATAAATACATGTTTATACACCATTCAGGTCCCAAAGTACAAATCCGGTCAACTTTAACAATTTTGGTCAACATAGACTTGGTTGGACTTCATCTCCGGTCAAGTCTTGGCCAATGTAACAAATTGGACAACATAATTCACTTGTCCGATTTATAAATCCGGACAACACCAACAAATCCGTGAACGACACAGCAAGAAGGCGAACTCTTAGTTGAGCTTGAGCTTTCAGATGAGATTGCCGAATAAAGTCTGTATTTTTTAGCTCTTTTTGATTACGTAGAAACTTGGATTCCTCAAGCTTGTCCGATTTACATACACAACATTTTTCTAACACTTTTCAAATCCAATCTTCACTTAATCGAATTACATTATTCCGCTCACGGCCTTGATCGATTTATGACTAAACCGAACAATATATCAATCAGTTTATATTTAATCAGAACAACCTTTGATCGTATTCCTACTTCTCCGTTTAAAACATTTATCCGTTTTTCAAAGATATAATCTCATCAACATATTAATCCGACCAATACTATGGTCGATTTTCTCTAAATCGGATAACACTATGTCCGATTTATACCAAATCCGGACAACATGTGTCCGATTTATAACCAAGTACAGGTGATAGCTAATAACACAAATCAGAATTCAAACCAAGAGAAATTACTTTTCAAAAAATGATGAATCAAATTACTCAGCTTAAAATTTTAGCAAATGAATCCAGTCAATAAGCAATCCGGTCACCACACTCTTTTTAAATCACTCTCTAGCTCTCAAAATGGCCAAGAGTTTTATTTTAAAACTTCATCTTCTATTTATACTTTCCTTAACAGGAAAGTCGGCTACTCCTCCTACTCACATACATGCATATAAGACATACTCATGCATACACATTTTATACATTCATTCATTGATATATAATAACATATATGCATTTCATTTTATCCATCATGCATGTATACATACATACCCATGCATACAATTTTATTATATGCATACATTCAACTTTGTTAGGACTGAAATTCAGTATTAAATTGTATTTGTCTTGAAAATTAATTTTGTTTATAATTGTATAAAGGTCACCATGTTTGACTTTTCTTAGATACTTTGACTTTGACTACCTGTGTCTTGTTTGACCCTATTTAAAGGGCGAGTCTTTGTAATCTTTAGTATGAACTCAATTGTAAAATCTGAATGCGTAATATCAGTTTGACCAAGATTGGGTTGTTGACTTTCTCTCTCTATCTTCTTCTACATGTTCTTAATTGAAAACCATCTATGCCATTGTCGATTTTGAAGATTAGTGGAAATTTGATCATATTTGGGACTTATAATTGGTATTAGAGCAAGTTTGCAGGAAATTTGATTGAAGAAATCATCAAGAGTTGCTTAATTTTCTGGAAATTCATGATATTGTTCTTGAAGTTCATCTTGTTCTTGAATGTTTATCTTTGTTTTTCATAAATTTCTCTCAAATCTTTCATTTTTGGATGATTAATTGTTGAAATTGTGATCATTGTGTACGGTTTTAAGTCGTGAATCAGTGTTATTCATTCAACTTCATGATTTGATCATTGACAGTAAAGATTTGAG